GCCTTCTGAAACTCTTTCAGGCAGAATGTTGTGCTCTTCCTCTGTGATCCCATGTCAGTTCATATATATATTGATTACATAATACTCTAGTATTGTGTAATCAATACTAAAGAGTATTAAAAGTGTGATATAGAGACTTCCACCAAGATGGAGGCGTAGGTGGAAGCACTGTGCCTTCTCGTACAACTAAGTTTAAAAACAACAAAGTTTTAACAACAAAAACACATCCAAAACACAGAAAATTGAACTTCATGGAAGTCTGACAACAGCAAACCCTTCAGCCAAACCGGTAAGAGGGACAGAGCCAGCAGCACAGCAGGGTCAGGCAGGAAAGATCCACTAGACCGAACCCAGGCGTGCGACCCAGGTGCGCCAGCAGCCATGGGCAGATTCCAGGTGTGGAAAAGCAGGCAGACCCACTGAGAGCGCAAGGTATTGGACCCACTGAGGGCTGATCACAGTCACACATTTGCACGCAGATAAACCGGTGAAGGAGCTAGTAGTGAGACAGACCCCACAGGCCCCAGTGGTGGGGAAGCGGCAGAGGAAACCACCATTGTCCCTCTCTGACCACACCCCCACATACAGCATCACAAACCAGTGACCTGGGTGGCCCTGCCCTGGTGAAAACTAAGGCTCCGCTCCTCATAAGTAACAGGCACAAACAGACCAAAGCATGGCTCAAGAACAACTCAGAGCCCCAGAGCCGATGAAGAAATAGCCAAACTTTCAGATGCACAGTTCAAAACACTGGTGATCAGGATGCTCACAGAACTGGTTGATTTTAGTCACAAATTAGAGGAACATATGAAGGCTAAACTAATTGAAATGAAGGGAAATACACAGGAAACCAATAGTAATGAAAAGGAAACTGGAACTCAAATCAAAGGAGTGGACCAGAAGGAGGAAAAAAATAACCGAACAGAAAAGGATGAAGTATCAAGAATTCAAAAAATGAGGAGAGGCTTAGGAATCTCCAGGACATCTTTAAACGTTCCAACACCCGAATTATAGGGGTACCAGAAGGGGGAGAGGAATAGCCATGAGTGGAAACCTTATTTAAACAAAAAATAAAGGAGAACTTCCCCAATCTGGCAAAGGAAATAGACTTCCAGGAAATCCAGGAAGCTCAGAGAGTCCCAAAGAAGTTGGACCCAAGAAGGAACACACCAAGGCACATCATAATGACATTATCCAAGATTAAAATGAAGGAGAGAATCCTAGAAGCAGCAAGAGATAAGGGGACAGTCACCTACAAAGGAGTTCCCATCAGACTGTCAGCTGATTTCTCCAAAGAGACCTTACAGGCAAGAAGGGGCTGGAAAGAAGTATTCCAAGTCATGAAATCCAAAGACCTACATCCAAGATTGATTGATCTATCCAGCAAAGCTTTCATTTAAAATGGAAGGACAGATAAAGTGCTTCTCAGATAAGATCAAATTCAAGAAGTTCATTATCACCAAGCCCTTATTATATGAAATGTTAAAGGGACTTACCTAAGAAAAAGAAGACAAAAAAGATGGACAGTGAAAGGACAACAAACTCACAGTTATTAACAACCACATCTAAAACAAAAGCAAACTAAGAGGACAGCTAAATCAGGAGCAGAACCATAGAAATGAAGATCACATGGAGGGTTAGCAACAGGGGAGTGGGAGAAAGAGAAGGGGGGAGAAGGTACAGAAAATAAGTAGCATAGATGGTAGGTAGAAAATAGATAGGGGGAGGGCAAGAATAGTATGGGAAATATAGAATCTAAAGAACTTGAGACATGTGGTCATAAACTAAAGGGGGAAAATGGTGGAGGGGTGTGCAGGGTGGAGGGGAATGAAGGGGGGAAATAGAACAACTGTAATGGCATAATTAATAAAATATATTTTTAAAAAATAAGTTAATTAATTTTTTAAAAAGTGTGATATAGCCCTGGCTGGTGTAGCTCAGTGGATTGAGTGCAGACCTGCAGACCAAAGAGTTGCTGGTTTGATTCCTAGTTAGAGCACTAATTCCTAGTTTGATTCTTGGGTTGCAGGTCAGGTCACTCATAGGTGGTGCACGACAGGCAACCACACAGTGATGTTTCTCTCCCTCTTTTTCTACTTCCCTTCCTCTCTCTCTAAAAGTAAATAAATAAATTTTTTAAAAAAGCGTAATATATACTTATGTTAAAGAATTAAAACAGTCAAAATCTGGTTTACAATGGCATACCTCTTGTGCTTCACACAGGCTCTTCCTAAAGCAATAGCTATTCCTATGAGAACTGACATGCCGAGAAACAAGTGCACATAGCTCTTCATGTTCTTGCAATTTTGGAAGCCTGTCAAACGCAGTGTTCTGCACTGTGGGGGTGCTCCACCCACAGGACCCCAGCCACCACTGATGAAAATAAGTCTACCAAGACATGATCTGCTTGGGGAGGAACTGTGGCCGATCTCTCAAAGGAGAAGAGACAAGAGCCTTTTCCTCAGTGGGCTTTTATTTGGTTCATTTTGCACAAGAATACAGGTAAAGCCCATTAATCTTTGTCAGGCAGTAAGAATCAAGCAATAGATAACATACAAAACTGTGAGGGCTTATTCTGACTCAGGGTCTGTTAGCTAAGGGGCTACAAAACTTTGGGAAGCAAACTAATTTCCTACTCAGACCCTTATCATTTAATTGAGAGCATTCTTAGCAAAGCAGATTTCACAGGATTTTATGTATTCTTTCTTAGGCCTGATTGCTGGGGGGGGAACCACCCTTTCTAGCACGAGGCTACACCACCCTCTGTCATTGTTTCAGTCTTAAGTCAGGCAGGGGAAGTAAGGCAGTCAAAAGATTAGGAGACTTCTTGCAGACAGAATGAGGACTCAGGCCTTGGAAAGCCAAGGGGTAAGAGTCCATCATCCCCTTTTCTTATAGCCCCCCAAGTCCTTCCCTGGGGCCCCTGTAATCATGCCTGTCTTAGGTTGTCCCTCCCTTGAGGAATCTTACCTGTCATTGGCTAATCAATCATGCACTGGGGGCCAGAAAGGGTGAAGTAAAAGGGGAAGAGGCAGCACCCCTGCCAAGGAGATAAGCTTTGTCTCTTTAGTGGCTTATGGTCTGAAGGTTACTCACTCAGCATTAGCCATGGAGGGTTACAGCTTCTGAAACCAGGCAGGCGATTCCCAACTCTGCACCTTGTCTGTTTGTTTTACGTAGCAATATTTTGGTCTTCTTTCTATATTAGTATAAACTTTATTATTCTTAATAGCTCTAAATATTTTAATAAGATATACCATGATTTACTTAATCATCCTCCTGTGATGGACATTTGAACTATTTCTAGCCATTACAAATGATGTGCAGTAATAATCTTGTTTATATATTTATACAGAGTAAATAAAATAATGGGCCTTGACATTGCATTTCCTGGGTTTGAACCCTGGTTTTGTACTACTAGCTCTTATAGCTTTAATCAAGTTAATTAACCTCTGTATGCTTCAGTTTCTTAATATGTAAAATGGGAATTTGATAATAATTTCATAGGGCTTTTCTGAAGGTTGAGTGAGCTTCCTGAAAAGACCTTTAATGTCTAATATATAGTAAACACTCAATGGCATTTACTACTATTATTATAAAGACCATAAGTCTTTAAGCACATGTTTGAGTTGATAAATCTTGGGTGTAATTCCTGGGGCAAAGGGTATGTGCATTTACAATTTTTACAGATATCCATCTTAATTAGGTTCCTTTAAAAGCAGATTCTGACATAAGGATTCAAATACAAATAGTTTATTTAGATGGTGAAGCAAAACTGAATAGGGGAGTGGGAGAGTCATACAGGGAAGGTAATGTAGCCTACAGTAAATGTACTATCAAGCCCATCACCACTTTGGGTACTTGAAGTTCAGTCCTGCTGAAACTGTAGGAAACTGTAGGAGCCAGTATTGACATCAGTCTCAGAGCTACTCACTAGTCAGAGGGTGAGGGGGCTGGCTATTGGTACAGACTTTTGCCTTGATGGAGGAGTCTAACAACCACTGTACAATCCTGGGAGCAGGATGATTTTGTCATCACAACGTGTTGGCAATGCTTTAAAACCTCAGTTATAAACACTTCTCCCCTCAAGATCACTCCTTAATTGTTCCCCCGTATTCCACTGCCTGGGAGGTATTAAGACCCCCACATTTCTGGCCTATTTCACAGGTGGATACAGCGGGTCTTATTGGTCAGAGGAGGAAAGAAATGCCAGTGCTGACTTTTGGAAGCCTGGCCAGCAGGCACTAATAGGCAAGGGAGAAAGGGATATGGTTAGAGTACCAACAGCATCTGTTACCTACAGTTGAACCTGCCCCATACCAACCATCTACACATATTCAGAAACATTTTAATACTCAAAGTTTTGCGCATAGTAGTGAGAATTTCTCCATCATTACTGTCTTTCATGACCCCTCTTGCATGGAGCTATGTGGCATAGCAGTCTATTTTTAGCTCATGAGATATATTGAGCCAATTCATCTTTGACCTGGGTTTTATTGTTTTCTGACAACTAGTTAAGGGAACCCTTTGTGAAGTCATACGTATGACCTGAGGGAGAGACATTTGGCTTACTGAGTTGCTAGTTTATGGAATTTAGTTACTTGTTTCCTCCAGACATGCTTATGCTTGATCACAAATGTACCATTTGTTTGATGGGTCACTGCTGTGCCCATCCCACCTAAGGATCTGAAGGATCAGCCAATAACCAGCTCACGATAAGCAGCTCCGGTGATATAGACCCTTGATGTCCTATGATCAAACTTAGTTTCTAGTAGGTCCCACAGCAAACTGGGAGCTTCTTTTTGAATGATAAACAGTTTTTTGAAACTTTCTGGCTTTCACATCAGGTTCTCAGTGATAACTGAGCCTGTCATTTTGTTTTTCTCAATATACTTATAACACTAACAGCCACTAGCCAACTTCACTCTCCTTATAATTCCCACTCTCCTATCATCTCTCATATTCTAAAGATAGTTCATGAGCCAGTGCATGCCCTTCTTCTCATATCCCAACCCATGTTAGTAGGTGTTTAGGACATTTGGAATCAGGCCATCACACACCGAAATATAGTGGCATGGAGGTACAGCCGAGATGCCAACAGCTTCTGCTACAATATTACTAACTCTTCACTTCACATTACCACAAACGATAGGTAAGACGGCTGTCTTTATGCATCTGTACTATTTCAGTGTATTATCTAATATTTGGTCTTTACTAATCTTGGCTTTTTGAAAATGGGACCTTGTTGTTTTATATGCATTTCTTTATTGTGAAGTTTCATATATATTTTTCACATGTGTGACAGCCATTGTTTCAGTATGAAAAATCTATAGGCAATCCATTTTTTACATGCTTTGTTCACTTTTCTTCCTGGTTGTTGGTTTCTTTTCTAGTGATTTATCAAAATTTTCTCTATAAGAAGAAAATCAGCCTTTTGTCAAGTGACTTGGAAATTCTGTTTCATTTTCATATTTATACATTTTTAGTTTATGATATTTTTTCTGAAAAAAATTTCTTTTATATAGCTATGTATTTTAATCTTTTATTTAATTCTTCTGTGTTTAATTACTTACTTATGACTAAACATTTAAAATAATTCTGATGTTCTCTACTTATTTTAATTGTTGTATTTTAATTATTTGTTTATATTATTATCTCTTTTTTCTAGGTTTTAACATCCTGAAAGCATAATTTCCAGGACATATACAACATTAAATTAATGACAGTATCTACCCTTCCTCATCCTCTTTTTTCCTTTCTATCTTATATATCTTTCTAACCACAGTACCTACCAAGGTACCAGGTATATAGTACATGCTCAATCAATTCTTGCTCACTGCAAGAATGAACAAATTATGTGGTCTTATATAAATTTCATCTTTTAGAACAGTTTTACATTTACAGAAATATTGTGAAGATAGTACAGAGAGTTTCCATACCTCACTCTCAGTTTCTCCTGTTACTAATAGCTTTGAATTAGTATGGCCCAGTTGTTACAATTAATGAACTGATACTGATATTTTATTGTTAAATGAAATCCATACTTTATTCAGATTTCCTTCGTTTTGACCCACAGCCCTGTTTCTGTTCCAGAATCTCACCTACAATATCACATTATATCTAGTCAACATTTCTCCTTAAGTTGCTTTAGACTGTGACTGTTTTTCAAAATGTTCCTTGTTTCTGAGAATGCTGACAGGTTTTAAGCGTATTAGTGAGGACTTTTGCAGAATTTTCCTCTGTTAGGAATTATCTGACATTTTACTCACGATTGAACTGGGAATATGGGTTTCTAGGAGAAAGACCACAGAAGTGAAATGCCATTTTCATAACACCATGTTAAGAGCACATTCTATCAACATGATTTATCACTGTTGTTGTTGACCTTGTTCAGCTTACTGAGGTAGCATTTGTAACTGTGAAGCTATTCTTTGTGATGGTTAATTTTATGCATCAGTTTGACTGGGCTAAAAGGATGTTTAGATAGCTGGTAAAACATTATTTATGTGTGTGTCTGTGAAGCTGTTTCCAGAAGAGATCAGCATTTCAATCATTAGACTGAGTAAAGACCTGCTAGCGCCAGTGTGGGTGAGCATCATCCATTCTGTTCAGAGCCCAAACAGAAGAAACAGGCAGAAGGGAAAATTCTCTCTCCCTTTTTGAGCTGGGACATGTGCCTTCTTCTGCTCTTGGACATGAGACCTTGTGGTTTTGCAGCCTTTGGACTCCAGGATTATACCAGCAGGCTCCCAGTTCTCAGGCCTTTGGAGTTACACCATTGGCCCCGCTGGTTCTCAGGCCTTCAGCCTGGGGCTGAATTATATTACCAGCTTTCCTGGTTCTCCAGTTTGCAGATGGCAGATTGTTAGACTTTACCTTTATAACAACGTGAACCAATTCCTGTAATAGACATCCTTTTATACAGTGATATAGATCTATTTCTATATGTATCTATTTTATTTAACCTTTTTCTCTGGATAACTCTAATATACATTTTTTCTCCTTTCTATACTGCACTCTGGGAGAAAGTCATTATACAAAGTCCACATTTAAGGAGTGGGGAGTTATGCGCCACTTCTTTGAGGGCGAAGGATCTATGTACTTGGAATTCTTCTCTATGGGACATTTGTCTGTTCTCCTTCATTTATTTATTTATTCAATTATTTGATTATATCAGTATAGACTTATGGATATTTGTTTTATGCTTTGGGTTACAATCTGACATTATTTATTTTGCTGCTTAAAATATTTCTTCTTTGGCCATCGGGAGCTCTTTCAGTTGGCGGCTGTGTCCCATGTGCATCTCTCACGATTGTGTTTTGTTTTGGTTTTTTAATTCTTTCTCACCTTCTGCCACTCCAAAATGTTCCAGGCTCATTTTACATATTTCCTGGCCCAGTGCTAGAATCAACATCTTCTCTGAGAAGTCCTGGTTCCTTCTATTGGGGAACAGGGTTAGAAAGGAAGATCTGGGCTCTCGCTGTGCATGCCTCTCCCTGCCAGGGTTGGACTTACTTTTTGAGCAGGTAGCCAAAACCAGTACAATACTGTTTACTTAATAAACAAATGTCTAATAAATTTACAATATGCTGCATTGTGCTTGAATTTAAGTTTAGTCTGACAGAAATAACCTCTGGCAATCAACATTTCTTGAACAGGTTCTTACAGAAACTTAGCATTCTATTTTTAGCTACGATTACAAACGAAAAGTAGGCATCCCCAAGGTTGTTACACTACATCCAATTATGGCATACAATATTTTAAGGCTTTATAAGTGTGTGCTGAAACTGTACATTTCTAGCGAAAGAAGCACCTTTCTGAGATTCAGTGGCTCTGAGTCTTTCAGACTTAGAGAATAGAGATAAAAATGTCACATCAGACACTGACATGCCTTGCAATGTAAAAAAGATTGTCTATAACTTAAATAAAAATAACCCCAGAAGCTGTGACTCTTACCCCCTCTTGTTACCAATTTTTCAACATCTCCATTATTGGTACGCAGAGTGACATTTGGTCAATACAGGTGACTAAACACTCAATGACCATAAATGTCCTTGACAAAAAAAAATGCTGTCTTGTGACTCTAATCTATTTTGACTTGCCAAGCACAGGAAACATTTAGTACTTTCCTAGGACATCAGTTAATGAGGTAACACTTGGCTTCACAGTTAATGTGAATTATTATAACCTCTGGGAGCCTATTAAGTTTATAAGATACCAGTTCTATACAATGATTGCATTTATTGGTGTCTGCATTCATAACACAAGGGCCACATCTCCATTTGGCTTCACTTCAGTTTGAGAAATGCAACTTGGAGCTAATTTTTGGCAATGCACGTCATGTGCTAAATGAAGCTCTCTCCTCCCTTTCTTTCCTTTTGGCTTTCTACTGACTTTATTAATGTAAAAGGGGTAGTGGAAGTCAAACTAACCTGAACTGATTATCCCATTTATACACACATTTAATTCAACCCTAATAAGAGCATTAAGAGGTAAGCACCTCCTTACCTATTTTAAAGCTAAGGAAACAGCTTTGAAGACATTAAGTAACTGGTGTAAGATCACACAATTTATAAAGTTATACAAAATGTATGCCCAGATAATTTGACTGTAGAACTTACCTTTTCTCCCTCCAGCAAGGACTCTCAGAACTGGCAGTATATGTCAGAGAAATTTAAGATGATTTTTTAAAATATTGATGCCCAGGCTCACTCTAAGATATTCTGGTTTAATAATTCTGGGGAACAATCTAGACCTCAGCAAGCTTTAAAATCTCCCCAGCTGATACCAATGTACTATCAGATCTCCACCAGAGCATCACTCCACTCTCATAATTATGCCCAACATTTAAGCAACATTCTTAGAGTTTTCAAAATTGTTTTTTTTTAATGCATAGTTTGCATAATCCTTAAACCAGTCAGGTATTATCATGCCCATTTTACAGAATATGAAACAGAGACTCAAGGAATTTTAAAATCTTAGTTGATATTAGAGAGTAATAGCTGAAGCCCAAGAAAATTTGAAGAGGGCCACCATACTGTTTTTGCCCTTATTTAGAATGTCCTCATCTTGGTTCCTTTTGGAATACTGCCCCTGTTTCCTCCTCTCCTGTCCTAGAGTTAGTTGGATGCCCTTTGAAGCTATCAGCTTTGTGTGTATAGACAGAAAGAGTGGCTGTGAGGACCACAATTCATTACTAAAACAATAAAGGTTAGTAGTAGAAATAGAGTTGAAGATGGAATTTTGACACCTTAAGAAAAGTGATTTTGTTTCTTTGGAGCTTAGATTCAACAGTAAAATGGGGAAAATAATAATACTACCTTACTGTTTTACCATAAAAATAAGATAAAACAATGTGTATAAAATGGATTTATAAATTGAAAGGCACTGTACTTTGTTAGCTAAAGTATTTTATTTGTAATGACAAATTTGGAAATGTTGTATTAGTTTTCCAGAGTTTCAATAACAAGTTATCACAAGCTTGGTGATTTAAAGTAACAGAAAATTATTCTCTCTGACTTCTGGAGATTAGAAATCTGAAATTAAGGTGCCAATGCACCACCGAAGGGTCTGAGACTCCTGTTCCAGCTTCTAATGGCTGTTGGCATTCCTGGTGTGTCTTGGCTTGCAGCCACAACACTCATTTATGCCTTTGTCTTCCTGTCACTTCCTCTTCTATGTCTGTTGCAGATATCCCTCCAGCTTTCTCTTATAAGGGTATTTTCACTGGGTTTAGAGCTACCCAAATAACCCAGTATAATTTTCTCATATTAAAATATTTAACTTAATGACATCTGCAAAAACCATTTTTTCCCAAATAAAGTGATACTCATAAGTTTCAGAAATTAGAATATGGACATATTTTTTGGGGGGTGCACCATTCAACATTCTGCAGATATTATAAGTATTTCTCTTTCTTTAAAATCAATATGCCACCCTCTGTTTTATAAACTGGTACTTGACAGTAAATTTAAGTGCCAAATACTTTTATATGGTTGTAGGAGACCATTCTGCATGGAATGGGCCCAGCTCCCAGTGGAAAGCAAGGTCTGATGCACAGGACCCATGCCCACGGATAGATTCTCCTGTGGGGAATCAGGTCTGCAAATGTACCTAGGCCACCTTGAGACTTGCTTTTGCCAAAACTTTCTC